ACTCTTTTAAAAAACAGCTCACAATTCTGCCCTGAGAATCAAAATTAACGTCGGACAATTTAAAAGAAGCACGAGGAATAGAAATAATAACAGTGCCGCAAGAAGAGGATGTGCCATAGCTGGCAAACATTTCCCCTCTCTACTCCTTTTTCCAAAGTTGGAGATCAGAGGGGCACGTAGTGTGGCACTCCTGTAAAAAAAAATACATCGTAATTTAGACAAAGATTAAAAATGTGTTGACTTTTATTAAAATCACGCATACCATTAACATTTAAAGTTAAATGGAGATCATTGTGCTAAAAAATATAAAAACCTGGAGAAAGTTCGTTAAAAATAAAAAAAAAGGTTATTTACAGGTAGTTCTTGTAGAATACTGCCTGTTTCCGCAGAGCTTTGTCTGAGTGCTGCCGAGAAATGTGCCGGGTCCACCTGGTGGGAACACACGCCGAGTGTGGACACCAGGGGCACTTCACCTGAGTTAGTGAAGCGTCTTTGTGCACACTCAACCTGTGTCCAGAAAACCCAGACCACGTCTGGGATTTAAAACGGCATCTTGGTGCCCTGCATCTTGCAGGCTCGCTGAGTCCTGGGAGCTTCAGCGAGCTAAGATAATTTAATACTTTTCCTATTTTCATAGGGTTTACCCCCGACGCCTCATCATTGTCCGTCGAGTCCTGCTCTTGCTTGGACTCAGATGAAGCGTCAGAGGACGAGGAAGAGGAAGAACTGCCTGAGTTAGAGGCGGAAGAGTTAACGGTTGTAACCTGCTCCGCTGGAGGGGAGGAGTCCATGGATGACACGCTCTCTAGATCCGAACCAAAAATGTCAGATGCTGTTGGAGTGGCCCTTTTGCTAGAAGGGGGCCTCTTGAGTTGATCTTGCCCGTTTGGTTGGCCGTTTCTTCTTACGGGCCAATCTTAAACCGTCGTCCTGCTCTGGGGCCTGCACGTTTTTACAGTCCTCCCTGTCACAGACTAGGGAAGGAGGGAGGGCCATTCATGCCCTTACAGATGGCACACTCCAACACTCTAAAGGATGAATCAAAGGGAATGGTTGATTTACAAGCATAGCAACAAATGCTAGGGTGAAATGGGCCAGAGGGTCGCTTACATTTTGAACAGGGGGTTATTGGTAGTTCTTTGTCTGGTTCTAAGGGTTCCGGTGTAGGGGGGCTCTGGGGCTGGGCGCTCCTCCGCTGCTGGTGGTGCTGCTGCATTGGGAGTGGACGATGATGTGCTTTGTTAGCAAAGGACTTGGGGCAGGCTTGAAAGCCATGCCCGTCCTCCCCGCAGAAAGTGCAGACAGTGCTGTTGGGACACTCGTTGGCGATGTGTCCAACCTGCAAACATTTAAAACACTTGATAGTATTGCATTCCTTTGCAAAAAGGCCCTGTTGGCCACACCGGGCACAAGTGCGGATCTGGCCTGGATACGAAATCCGGGCGTTCCTATCTCCAATGCGAATAACAGTAGGGATGGGCGTGTTGATCCACATCCTATACTGTCTAGTACCGTTAATTAAAAACGGTTGGGTTGTCTCCATACGTGGTGAAACGGCCAGCGATCACCTGGCTGTACCTACCTAGAATATTACGTACTATACTATCATGAATAGACTTGCTAACGTAATGTACAGTTATGATCATGACATCATTAAATTTTGTGACGGTGCATTTGTCTAGTGTAGTTACTTTAGGATAGAACTCCTTACACAAAAGTGATGACTTGTATACTATCTCAAATTTGTTACCTCAAATTTGTTACCTGGCAATGGCTGGATAGCTGCCAGGTGCTCCTTCGCTTTAACGCCAATGTCGTGAAGCTTAGAAAACAGCAACTTGGGGGTCGTCTGCTCCTCAAACTGAACTTCCATGGCTCTATCTCTATATAAGGCACTAACGGCCATGGTACTTTCTGTTAAGAGTAAACACCTGAAAAAGGGAAAATCAAAAAGCAAGTCAAAATATCGTCAGTCACAACTGCTGACTGACAGTAAATAAAATTCAAGCCACTTGCACGGCCAACTAGAAATATATATACAAAGGGAGAAGAGCGAAGCTATCTGCTCTTTCTATTTCCCCCGGAAAAAGCTACCTGCTAATTAGATCAAAGGAAAAACCAAGGAAGAGCAAACTGCTAAACCTGGGGCTAAACAAGAAAAATATACACTGTACCCCTAAGCTACCTGCTTAGAAGGGCTATATGAAAAAAAAATGGCGTTCTCCTTGAACAATAAAACCCAACAGCACACGGACTTTTACGTGTTCTGGGTAGGGGAAAAAAACAAAACTGCACACACCCCGTGCAAAAAGGATAGGGCCGTACAACTGCTACGGCCCCAACAAAAAGGCGAGAATAAAGGACCACTGGGCTGTGGCAACCAGTGCACACAGCCCACTACAAAAATGGAATAAAAAAACACTGAAAAATATTGCTTAAAAATACTCCAATAAAATAGAAAAAGGGACCAGCTAGGTCTATAACACTAATCTAAACTTACGATAAAGGTAGAAAAAGCAAAAAAGGGCGAAAATCTCGCAGCTCCGAGAGACAAACGTCCGGCAATACCTGAAAAGAACAGATACGGTTTTTAAATGGTTTATTTCTTGCGAAAAAAACCTTCATCAATATATACAATTTTACAAAAACAAATTTACAGATTGAAAAAAAAAGGTACACATCAAAATTACAACACCTTATTTGCATAAGTTTGAAGAAAAACAAAAACACTTCTCACTTTGGATATGAATCGGTATTTCAAAATATTTAGAAAAATCTGTTTGCTATTTAACCCACCACCAAATAAAATTGAATTCTGACCAAAAATTTTACATTGAAAATTCAAAGAAAATTCTCTCTTCAAAAGGGGACAGTTTCTTCAAAATTCTCGAATTGCCAAGACAAAGGAAAACAAACCCACCACCAATGCTATTAACCTCTCTTCAATTTTCTAGGTATCTAAGTTTGTTGGTAAACTGTCGAAACGAAACTCTGAATCAGTCAAAACGAAGAATGGACTGGTAAGGCGGCTGAGGAATCAGGTACTTTTTGAGACGGCTTTATGTCATGTTTCGCACCATTTCTTGCAAACAAAATTGTCCTTCGAAAGATACTTAACTGTCGTGCCGTCTCAACCTCCAGTGCTTTTGATTTTGGCTTTGGAAACAACGAGTAGATTAGCGTGTCCGTGTCGGGCGCGTACGCGCGTGTTTTATTTAACCCGCCCAAGTAATGACCGAGCCACTGGCCCACCGGCTTGACCACACCGCACTCGACGAAAACATGCTCTAACGTCTCAAGCCGAGCGCAGTGTGGACACAGACCCCGGTCTTTGGACTGTTTACGGAGTCTGTGGCCGGTGGGCAGCACGCTGTGTACAACTCGAAAGTTTAGTGCAGCATGAGCATTGGACAATACTACACAGCGTTCAAGACCATGCCGTGGCCCAGTCTTTACCGGGGTGGGAGCGCTGTACCTGGGGCTCTGATCCTTTGGACTCGATTATGGTTGCAAGGTGTTCTTTGAGTTTAACCCGTCGGCAGTCTTCAACGAAATCTCCGTGTTTCCGGAAATTGAACAAAATAGAACGATAAAAGACAGGTTGGGTATCACAGTGTGGCAGGTTCTCGCGCGCCAACGACGGGTCTACACTCTCCGTAGAGACAGACCGCACCAGTAGCGCGCAAGAACCCGCCACTTACCAGGTTTGTTTGAAAGAATACTGGCGACGTGAACACCCTGCAAGGCGGCAATCTTACTGTCGATGTCGACCATCCCCATGGAGGGAGGTACATGGTCTCCCGGCTGACATATTCTGTTTTGTGCCCCCAAACGAAACTGAAAATCAAGCTGTTGATTTTTCCAAGTTTCTCTTTTGGGGGCGGGGCAACTTCAGCTAAATACCAAATTTTCAAAATAACGAACGTATTAATCACTTGAACCCTCCTCTTCATCGAAAAATCACAATCTTCCCAGTCCTTCATGCACTTTCCCAATTTGCCCAATTTCTCCTCCCACATGTTATTATTAATGTTCCCATAACCAAAAGAAATACCAACAATTTTGGCTGAAGTTACCCAAGAAATGTCAACCGGGCCACTTGGTCGGTTTTTCCATCGACCAAGGAACACGCCACTCGTTTTCGGCTGGTTCAGCTTTGCGCCTGATGCGCGCTCGTATCTCTCGACCAGCGGAAAACTACGGACGATAGATCTATCGTCCGTCAATATGAGGGTGGTATCATCAGCATACATCGAAACACTGGCTTCAGTGCCCCCCGGTAATTTAACACCCTTGATTTTGGGGTCGGCCCTAATCGTGCACCCTAGGGGCTCAAGGGCAAAGATGTACAGAAGCGGCGAAAGCGGACAGCCCTGTCGAACCCCCCGGAATAGCGAAAAGGGACGGGAGATGTGCCCTTTGCAAATCACACTACTCTCAATATCAGTGTACAAAATTGTCACCCATTTTCTGAATTTTCACCGAAGCCAAGGGTCCCGAGGATCTGCTGAAGATACCCCCAATCGACTCTGTCAAAGGCTTTTTGCTGGTCGAGCGATACGAACGCAGCGCACATGTTTTTCTGATCTACATAACTCTGAACGTTGCGAAGGAGATGTGCACTGTCCAGTATGATTCTCCCCGCCACCGAGCATGTCTGATCGTCATGGACGATGCTGGGCAAAATTTTGCGCATTCTGGTGGCGAGGATTTTAGCATTGATTTTGTAATCGACGTTCAACAGTGATATGGGCCGCCAATTAGTTAACTCTTCCCGACTACCTTTATTTCTTGTACAACAACGTGACGAGACCCAACCTTTGACTTTGACTAAGACTGCCATTTTGAAACACACTATTGACCATGTCACAGTAACTTGGCCCATATCATTGAAGAACGTCTTGTAGAATCTATAACTTAAACGAGAGTAACGAAGTTTAATTGTGATTCTACCGACCATTACCATAATGAGGAGTCAGGTGAGATTGTCTTGTCTGGTATTTGAGGAACGCACTCATTCAAAGAAAGAATGCACTTGGTGCGCATATAAATGGGGCCGTGCCCGTTCAACCGTCAGTGTTTAAAGCAATCGCATTACACTGGCTCACCAACAAGGGTGGGCAAAGTTCTAGGCTTGATTCATGAATGTTGAAAACGAGGGAGGGTAGCTACCTGACTCCTCATTACGGGAATTCTAGTGCTGAGTTGACAGAGGCATGAAATGGATGAACATGTTGTTTACTACAGAATTGTAACCATTTTGATAATGCACAACAGTATTGTTTTTGCGTACCTGGTCTCCAAGACTGGAATATGATGTCAATAGTTCCTTGTGAAAGTCCTCTTGAAGCGAGGGAACTCCTGATAGAAGCCCAGCACACATGACAAGGCGGTCTTGGAGATGACGAGACTGTTCCGTTACATGTGGTAGGTACAGTAGGTTGTCGCTCTTTGGAATGACCAATGGAGTTGCGATCAGTAATCGAAGGAGCCTCGGGAACCAGTGCTGTGTTTTCCACTGAGGGAAAATTAGGACCCCGGTTGTCAGGTCCAGCTCTACTTTTTGGAGAACCCTATCGATAAGAGAGAAGGTTGGAAAACAATATATCAATTCATTTGACCATGATATTGAGATGGCGTCACATGACTCAGCCTCAGGGTCAGGTAACCATGATATAAAGGGTTTAAGTTGGTAGTTATTTCTTGAGGCAAACAGATGTACAAAGGGTGTGAATCTCCAGAAAGACATTATGTCTTTCAAGACATTAGGGTTTAGTTTCCATTCAAGATTATCATTGAAAGATCTTGACAAAATAAATCTGCTTGTGTATTACTTGAGTCAGGAATGTGTCGTGCAATTTACCATACGCCTTGTTCTAAACACCAAAGCCACAGTTTTTTTGGCTAAGTCATTGAGGTCTTTAGAGTGGCATCCACCCATGTGGTTTATATACGCCACAGCCGTAGTGTTGTCTATTAAGACTGACACAGTTTTGCCTTGAAGATGATCGGCAAATGAGGATATTGCGTACATGACTGCTAAGAGTTCAAGATAATTGATGTGAAATGATGTTTCGTTAGAAGTCCATCGTCCATTCGTTTTTAAATTCAGACTAGGACATAATGCTCCCCATCCATTTGATGATTCATCAGTTTGGATTTCAATGTCGGCAACTCTAGGTAATATGGGACGGTATGAAGTAGCCAAATTCAGCGTCCACCAATGTAACTCGTGTTTAGCACTTTCAGTAATGTGCATTTTGGCATGAAAATTACCTCCATTTTTCTTCAAGGCTTCATCCTTTGCCATTTCAAGATTTCTGTAAAAGAGTGGTCCAAGGGGTACTGCTGGGAAGCATGAAACAAGTTTCCCTATAATTTGTGAAACGATTTGTATCGTTGGATGTGTTTGACTTTTCAAAGATCGACAGAGGTCAATGATGGCGGAAACCTTTCTGGTTGGTAAACGTACGGTCATATCCATCGAGTTAATCATGAATCCCAAAAATCCATTTTTTTTAGTAGGGTTCTTCATAGATTTCTTTTCATTTAATACGAACCCCAAGACATTCATAACTTTGCATCTTTCATCAACATTCCTTAAACATTCATCTTCTGTATCCCCGATGAGTAATGAATCGTCAATATAATTGACAGATATGTGGCCTTTGTTACGCAGAGTAGCAGTAACTGGTTTCAAGACTTTTGTGAAGGTACGGGGAGCACTAGCTAACCCGAAACACAAGCAAGTAAATTGCCACAGTTTGTTATGCCATTGAAAACGTAAATACTTTTGATGTTCTTGAGCCATTGCGTTGGTATTGTAAAATAGGCATCTTTCAGATCAAAAGATGCTAGAAAACTGCCAGTTCGAACCAACGTTAAAGCATACTCCAATGTTTCCATCTTGAAGTGATTGTACTCAACAAACTTATTGAGTCCTTTTTAAGTTTATAATTGTACGCATGGAACCATCCTTTTTAGGACGAAGGAATATATTCGATAAAAATTGCCCTCTGCATGGGCTGACCTGTACAATGGCCCCTTCTTGTACAACGTTTGAACCTCTTCGTCAATCATTTGTGACTCTTTATCAGAGTAACATATTGTCTTAGGGGAAAAAGACTGACGCGGCGTTCCCTTAAACTCAATATGTCAGTGAGAAATGGTATTTAATATCCAAGCATCAGAAGTAATACTTTTCCAAGCTGATACAAAATGTTGCAATCTTCCCGCAATTGGAATTTCAGCAGTTAGATTAATGTCCTTACTCACTTGCTTGGCAGACCCTTGTCCTTGGTCTTCAGTCTTATCCGCATAGGCATACGACGACGAGCCCGCGCCATCTTGGCTGTAATAGGGTCGACGATTTTTCTGCCAATTTCCCCTGTAATAGGGTGCTCGTTGTTGCTGGTTGCGAAACGATAGCCGGACGAGCTTGGGCGAGAATATTGATAGTTCGGGGCCCCTCGGCGTCGGAAGTTCGAAGGTTCCTTGCCATATACTTTTGAACTCAATTTATTTGTTTCCTGTATGGACTTACAAGATTGCACAAGATCATCCCCAAACAGTCGAGGTGCAATGTATCTGAGATGAACACAATGGCGCATATTTCGGACTTAAGTCCGGCGTTATGCTATCGCGTCTTCTAATGTTCAGTTGCGCGTTGCCATTGCCCATTATTGCCGCAGCAATAAGGGTTCTAATGAGTCCCGCTGTATCAAGGCTATTGTTGCCAGCCTTTGTATTGCGTGCCTGCAATAGTTGGTCCGCGACCTTTGTGACTGCAATAGATGCATGTAAAAAAAAGAGCTTTGTATTTTTTGAAACCTCACGTCTCTTTGTCTAGTAGTGGGTTTCAAAAACGGCCAAATCTCTGGATTTACCTTTGTCAGGCAAAGATTCGGACAATTTTGTGTTTATCATAGCCTTTTAGCTTTTCTTCTAGCTTATCTTGGTGGATTTTCCCCGTGCTAGTGAATTGATTGTTTTTTTGCCAGATTCTCGTTAATGGAAGGTCCTTCCTTCTCATCGTCATTGACGAGTGCCGCCATCTCTAAAAGCAACTCGTCGTCGGCTATTTCGCCTGATTTAGACTCATTTGGAGGATCCACAAATATGTTATTGACCTCGTCCTCCCAGTAGAAATTTGTGTCCATTTCGGGTACATGTACATCTACTGGCATGGCGTTAGCACGCTCACTTTGCATTTCATCCCTTTCAGGTATGAATTCGTTTTCGCCCCTTTCGAGTGCAAATTCTATGGTCACGCCACTACCCACGCTAGCGTTAGTAAATGCATGGCTTGGTTGCTTTTGGCGAGCAAGCGCATCTGAAAGGTTTGCGACTGTATGTTGTAGCGCAAAGACTACCTCGCGCAAGTCAGAATTCTCATTTTTGTTAATACTCGCGCTAGTCGTATGACTCTCACTAGGCGCACTACCAGCAGCAACAGGTATGGCAGCTTTAACGGTTGGTTTGCGTTTTGTACGCTTCTTAGCTGGCGCTGGCGTGGGTGGCTTTGCCTGATTTGGCTGAATAAGATCGGAAAGCTCGTCTTCAAGACGAGAAACTATCAATGATTCATCCCCCGAAGGGTTCGCATGCATTTCTAAAGTACAAATGTCATCCATCATGGTGACTAGAATTGGCCACGCAGTGGTCCGTGCGATCGAGTGTGTTCCTGATTAACACCAAAAATACACTGACGGTTGAACGGGCACGGAAGCATTTATATGCGCACCAACTGCATTATTTCTTTGAATGAGTGCGTTCCTCAAATACCAGACAATGCAATCTCACCTGACTCCGAATGGAGGTAACGGTGAGGTAGAATTCAGCGGTCAAGCCATCCGAACCAGGTGACTTGCCCGCCGACATATCAAACAACGCCGGCCTCACCTCGCTGACAGTCACCGGCCCCTCGAGCAACAATTGCTCGTCGGGGCTCAGTGAACTGTCAATGGAACCCCTGTGGAAATCAATCTCTTTCTGGTCAATTTTAGTTCTCGTATATAAATCATCAAAGAAATCTCTACAAATGCTGGTCATGTGTGTTTGGTCTATTTGCAGTTGACCAGAACGATCACGGAGACCCTGCATGCGCTTTGAGTCTGGGTCGCGCGTTTTGGGCTGAAAATTTTTCTCCTCTGCAACAAAAACTGGATCGGGAACAGAAAAACGGAAATTATTCAGAGTTGAAATTGGGCTTTTAAGTTATGCAATTGTTCTACGCATGCAGAGTCTCCGTGGTCAATTTGATTTTGCAAGAGATCGATTTGTCTCAAGAGTTCCTTACGTTCAGAGCTACGTTTTCGTGCTTCACCAGCAGAAAACGCAACCACTGCACTCTTTAGATGGATTTTTCCCCTGTCCCACCACTCAACTAAATTTTCAAATTCCCCTTTTCTTGTAACCCAATCGTTCCATTCTGAACTGACAAAGTGTTGAAAATCTTCCCTCCCAAAAAAGAAGTATTCAATTTTTCAGTAACCCCGGCCAGCGTTGTGAATTTGGTTCGAAAAAACCACAGAAATTAAATCGTGGTCAGACAGGGGACATGCAGTGATTGCGCCAAGTGAACCCGCGGACAATTCGCGTGACATGTATAGGCGGTCGATTCTTGTTGCCTTTTGGCTATTTTTGGAGTGCCAAGTAAATCGTTTTTCATTTGGGTTTTGAACCCGCCATACATCAAGCAGGCCGCTTTCCCGCACGGTTTTCTGAATTTCTTATTTCCCCGGCTGCTTTGATAGTTTGAAATCCCCCCTTTAGAATCAAAAACCAAATTGTCAATACATGTACAATTAAAGTCACCCCCAAAAATAACATGTCTCATTCACCGTGTGTGGTTACATAACTCAGACTGAAAGAAGTTTTGTCTATCGTGCGGATCATTGGGGCCATAGACATTAACAATACGAATTTTTGTATTTGTGTTGGGGAACGAAACTGTGAGGGAAAGCAGCCTACCCCTATTGTCACGCAAATAGTCCGTAGGACACCACAAGTGGCGTGAAGACAGCAAGATGGCCGCTCCACAACTCGAAGTAGACCCAAAAGACCAGAACCCAACGCCGCCAAATTCCCGGGCCCACGCTCTGGGTTCAGAGAAGCCCGAGACGTGAGTTTCCTGCAACAGCAGAATATCAATATTCCGACTGTTGCAGAAACCGAAAATTTGACCGCGTTTCACCTGATTCCTCAAACCATTAACATTGAAGGATGCTAATTTGAAATGAACCATACTAAAAGCTAGCAAAATTATAGTAACACATAACCAGTCCATAACCAAAAGAGTTCAAAGAAAAAACAAAGTCCTAAAGTTCGTCTTGTTTCAAAAAACAAACAAACAGTTCAGTTCTTTTTATATTTCTTCCCTCCGTCTTCAACTCTTCGTCGTTCATCTTCTTCATCTGGGGAACAGCCCCGCTTGCTGCTTACAGCACTGGCCATGCTGGCGACCGAGAATGTGGAGGCGCCGGAGTCCGAGTCCGGGTCCGAGCCCCCGGCCTCGCCGTGGAAAACCTCCTCCGCCTCCCGGGCTAACTCGTCCTCTAGTCCGTCGAATGGGTTGGGCGTTGTTACAGCTGCTGCCCATTCCCTCACCCGTCGTTTCGATGCCTCCTCGGTGGTGAAAACTAGCTGTTCGCCATAGTCCACGGTTATCCCGGCTGCCGCGTTTCCCTCCGTGGCCTTAACCGGGGAAGAACGTTTTCCCTTCGGCGCTCTTTGAGCGGGTGGCTGGGCTTGTTTCGTGGCGACTGGTTTGGCGACTCGGCGGGGGGCTACTGTCGCGTCCGTGCGGGGGACCGGGGCTGGCTTGGTGGTACGACAGGGGGCCGTCTCGGTGTCCGCGCGTGGGACCGGCTTGGTAGCTCGACGGGGGGCCTCTTCGGTGTCCGTGCATGGGACTGGTTTTGCGGCTCGACGGGGGGCTGATTCATTGTCCGCACGGAGCGCTGGCTAGGCAGCGTGAGCGGGGCTGTTTCAGTTGCCGGGCGGGGACCTGTTTTTTTGGTTCTCCGGTGTTCGGGCTCAGTGCTGCGGCTCTTTGCGGGTTGCGCTTGTCGGCTGGGTGAACGACTCATGCTGTGGGAGGTCGCCCTGACCATCGGGCGGGCCGCTAGGGGAACTTGCTTGCTCCTCACCGCCTCGTCCCAGAAGCCAGGCGGTTTTTCTGCTGGGGTGACGTTGGGCTTGTTCTTGGTTTTCTTACGTGGCGGCGTCTCGGGTATGGCTGGGATGTCATCACAGGGGCTGTGCACTCCTTCTGCAGGCGGTGGGAACATCATGGTGGTTGGGCGGGCCGGCTGAGATTCAGCCGCGGCTGTCTCTTCGTTACACTGCGTTGCGTTGACCACAGCCTTGACACGGTGAAGCACGTGGTCGGCATCCGACCGTGAGCCATCATACAATGTCTCACAGTGCGAACACCAAACCAACCACTTCACCGTGCTAATCAAACACCAGACCAGAAGAGAGTCTGGCTGGTCTCTAGCCCTGACCCATACAAAACGCAGGAACGGGTTAGGGAAAAATAACGGACCAGGGCTTTGCAACCAATGTGCTCGACCCAGGCCCACAAAATGTTAACAAAAGGCAGTCCCAAAAAACGTGGCTAAGTGACTCAGGAGCGGCACAGCCGACCCGAGGACACCTGCCATCACCAATGCCCCAATGGCCTAACGTTGGGAGGTTTTTAACGCCCCCCGTGCCACCCTCCAATTCAAATCCCGCAAGCGGTTACTCAAATTGGAGGAGTGACACAGTTTTAAAACATGCTTAAAATCAACCACATTAATTGCCAGATGCTAGGTAGGCTCCCGGCTCGACAACAGGTCGTAAAGTTGCCGGACCCTTACGGGCCCCCAGTCGATGTCCGGCGTAATGGTAGAAATAAGCAAGACCAGTTGCAAAAATGACGATAAAACCCAGTGGGTTGCAGGGCGTGTGGGTTATCATTCCTCCAGATGTTGCGGGGGAGAACCCCAAGGAGTGACGAGGCCGCCCAGTACAGAGAAAAAAAATCTCCAAGGAGGACCATGTCACTCAACAAAACCCCAAACCCACTGGCAAAGAAAGCGTCACATTTGTGACGAATATTGGTGACCCCAAGGCCACCATTAGCTAAAGTCTGGACAAGGACTGACCTTTTGACAAGTTCAGTCTTGCCAGACCAAATAAACGAAAAAATGGCCCGGTTAATAACCCTCTCTACCGAAACCGGTAGAGGGTACACCGGGGCCAAAAAAAACACAACGGAGTTAAAATCAAGGTGTTGACCAGCAACACCTTGCCTAAAAGAGAGAGCATCCCCCTTTTCGACATGTCCAAAGTGGACTGCAGATTGGGGATCCGCTCTCTCCAATTCATAGGGCCCATGTCCCCACCGCCAACCCAGACACCGTTGATTTTAATCGGGTCTCTAGTCCACTGGATAGGGACCACATCGGGAAGGCAGTCTGGCCATGAGCCAAAAATCAAGCCTTTGGACTTGGCGAAGTTAAGGCGAGACCCGCTCGCACGAGAAAATGCATCGATGATGCCAAACAACCGCCTCACCGAT